GAACACAGTGCTGCTGTTGATGCCCTTAACGCCACTGCTCCATCAGATGCAGATACACGTGTTTGTATTATGCACTTCGCCTACAGCAACACAGCATCAGAAGGAACCAATAACTCTGCATCCTTACAAACCATTTCCAGACAGTCAAATGAGAAGACTGAATTAAGGCAGGTCAAAGGAAAAAGTGCCTTTAGCAATGCTCCTTCTAAAAAAGCCTTCTAAACTTGTACATAGCCTACTACACTCTCAAAGACAAATTTTCTGATCTCCAGTTTCCTTCTAGATTATTTAAAAAGATATCCCAAAACAGGTTTCACTTCAAAGAGCAAGCACAAACACACACAAAAATAAAAAGTTCTACAAATTTTCTTTTTGTTGTTTTAAAAATATGAAACAGTACCAAATAACTTCATTATTATTATCATTATTATTGTTATCATTATTATTATATTTTCCTTTACATATCTTGCCACAAAATGAATGTAGAAATGGAGCTCACTGCCTTTCCCTGCATTTTTTTTTCTGTTGGTGGGCTACAGTTTCAAACAGATTCCAAGGATAAGCCAATTTCACACTATGAACCAGAAGAAAGAATAACTGCAAGAGAACTTGAACGGTTTTTTGCTGAGGTAACTTCCAGAAGAAAGAATAACTGCAAGAGAACTTGAACAGTTTTTTGCTGAGGTAACTTCCTGTAATTGACTTCATATAGGATCAGACAAGAATCTGAATATTAGCAGAGTGCCTGGTAGTAAGAGGGCAGTAAGATAAGACCACCACCTTCACAAGTCACAAAGAGTCTCATTGTCCTGACTGTGTCACAAAACCACAAACTCCAGCTATGTGTCCTGGCTCGGGACAGATTTGGGAGGGAACTTCCAAAAGGGGTCTCCTCTAGAAACCTAATTTCAGCAACCCCTTCCCCAACCAGTTTAGGAGAAAAAGGAAGCACATGAACCATCACAAAAAATAAAACAATCCACAAAAAATAAAAGCTCAGAGAAGATGAGGACTGGCATCCAGTAAAACTTGCCCTGATCTATCAGGGAACTTAAAAGCACTTCCAGGTTCACCAGTCTAGAGGTAAAAATACCAAAAGTATGTCTTTATCCTTTTTGTGTCTCCCAACAAATACCAGATTTACAGCAGGAACATTACTGTAGAAGAGCAATTTTTTTAAAGGTACTTGTTTAAATGCAATAAATTATAGAAATAGCAATACCTACGTCTCAATATAGACTTTTCATATGTAAATACTATCTTTAGAAGGTAAGTCACATATCAATACATAAAGCCTTATTAACTTATAAAAAATGTGGCATAGACTGGTGATAAGTGACTTTCAGCAAATCTGCCAATGGCTCACATAAGATTCAGGTGCACATTTGCCAATCCCGACCCAGAGCTTTATCAAGAGAGCATACTTGCTCAGTGAGACTTTGAAAATTATGCTGACATCAAGAAGCATGCTCCTTGGGCCTAAATCACAACAATATTGATGAAGGCTGATAGATATAATGTTTTCCAGCATCTTCTCTGTCATTTTCTATTCTCCTGATAATTGAATTCTCTTGTCCAAACAACCAGCAGACCTTCTAACACTAAGGTCTCACAAAGGGCACCTTTGTTCCTGTGACCATTAGTACAAGAATGACTTTTCTTTGAATGACACAGGGCACTAACATGAGGCAAAAGTGTGTGATTATTTTTACAATGGGCATGCTGCCTCTTTACATATGGAGGTAAAGAGGGGAGGAGGGAGAGAGAGACATTGATCCTCAGGAGTTTATTGACTTGGTTCCATGAATCCTGGTAGTTACACCTACTGAAATTCTCCAGGGAGCTGAACAGAGCTTATATATGATCCTTCCTCTCAAAAGGCAGTGCTTTTTGCATCCATTCCCTTCATGCATTCATCCAAATAAATCCACCTGATTAAATAAAATTATCCTCTTCCTTTTCATCCAGTGAAAGAAAACAGAAAATTGGCAGTATTTGTCCCATTACACTAAGAGCACAGGCATTATTTAACTGCTATTAGTAGAACTGTACTATATTCTACCTGTCTTTTCATTTCTGCAGTCAAAGCTAACACAAAGCCTTCTCTAGCCTTTCAGGAGTAATTTTATTTCAAAAACTGGAGGACTAGCTATCTCATAATGCATTTTTCTTTAGAACCTTCCATTTATCATAGCAGGCATCACCCAGCAATGAAAAACCATTTACGCAAGCATTGAACATTTTCTTTCCCACTCTCAGAGAAGTTAAAGAAAAACAAAAGATACATTAAAGACATAATTCTTAACAGTAAATGGCATTTAGGATTCTCAACTCTTCCATTTTTCTTTACTACAGAAACATTTACTGCACAAATTTTATCTTGACCAAAGCTTCTCCTTCTTCTGCAAGGAAAATCCACAACATAGAAAAGAAAAGCTTACTTATTGCAGAAAAATGGGGGGTTTTGTCATTTTTTTCTAATGTCAAAGTTGTAATCACATTTTCTATTACAGTTCTTCCTGAAGTGTCACTCAGCAGCTGCCACTATGATCTCCGAACATCAGTATCTGTAAACAAGATAACTTTCTTGCTTGATGAGGCCATGCTTCTCTCTTGCCATTCACAGGAACCCAGTGTAAAGTGACTTCCAATTTAATTGGATTAGCCTGCAAAAATATCACTTGACACATCCTTTTTAGCCTTCCCACCAGAAAATTCATAACTAAATAGATTAATTTTAAAGAGGAAACTTCTCACAAAGATTTACAGGCTGAGAAAACAAGGGGCTCAGTAGCCCAGTGTAAGGAATCAATAACAGCACAGACTTTGCAACTGAAAAACTGGATTAACTGAGTTATTTTTCCCTGTATTTACCAAATACAGAGACTGATAAATCCCACAGATGCATATTCCTAGGGAAAATGTGAAATGTCAAGGCTTTACCACTTCACCAGAGCAGATAATTAAGTAATTAGAGCAATTAAACGTTGACAGAGCACCAGCGACCCCCAGGTGAATTACAGCCATGAATTATGAAAGCATGAGCAAGGGAAGAGCGAAGGCTTTGGCACATATGTAGGATAGATTGAATACAGTTATAGCACCAGGCTTATAATTTCTGCACTTATTTTCCAGATGTGCTTAGCTGTCCACAACTTTTGTTGTCAAACTACTTATTTAGATGTCAGGGGCAAACTCATCGGGGTACATTTTCTCTCTGAAAAAACAGTGAATCAGAAAGCACAGTATATATTAATCTACTCTCTCAACCTTTTACACTGCATGAAAGGGCTGAAAAAGTAAAAGAGTGCTTTGACAAATCTGCATCCATCTCAGTAAATTACATCCACCAGTCAAGGCGCCTGGGAAAGAGAATGTCAAAGGGGCCCTTAGCACAATGCATGCACAAATTATCAATCACTAAATTATGTCAGAGGCTTATAACCTCCATCACACCTTTTGCTGGGGACTGTGTCCTCATCAGTAACTGCTCATGTGTGACATGCAGAAACACCCTATTTGCTAAATAAGAAATATAAGCAACACAACTATCATAGCATCAAGTTCAGGAATAATTTGCTTCTCTTACTTATAGGGCAGGTTTGCTTTACTAAGTTTTTTGGTATAAGGAATTTGGTTTAAAACACATTGGACTGCCTGCTGTGATGAACCAACTCCAGGCAGAATGAGCTGGCTCTGGAGAATGGAGGCATTATGTAGATGGAAAGCAGGGACAGAAGCACAACTGGTGAGCAGGCTCAGCTGCAGAGTGCAGGGCAGATGGGCAACACGTGTAATTCCCAGCAGCTGTGAAAACTTCAACTAGCAGATTTGTTGCAAGTAAGAGTGTGTGAACATCTTATGTACTGCAATTCTTTTTAGGTGGAAAGTTGTTTTAAAATTGAAGTGAGAACAGGGCAAAAAAGAAGAGAGACTCACCAAAAAGCCAATACAAAACATGTCACACACAGGCGATTTCACACTTTTGTTTCTCAAAAGAACATCTAATAGTCTTCTGCTCTGAAATTGTTAATACTTCATTTCATTGCCTTTACCAAATGAAAAGAAACAGTCTAGAGAAAATTAGATTAAAGAATATTAATTTTTTTTCTAAAATGAATGAAATTATTTTATAATAAAAATATAATAAGAAAACAGTTTTTCAATAATTGAAATATTAATGTGAAATATGTGAAAAGTTAAATGTGAGATTAAAAACCTAATTATAATCTCTCACAGCAATATACAATCTATATATACATATATACAATCCATATTTTATTTATAAAATGCCTGATGCAATATCTATATTTATTTATTAATTAGGAATTTTTTTAATTTTACGGCTTCAAATCAAACCCTATATTGATATAGTTTAACATATATTACTTAATTTAAAAAATACTCTAAATGAGCTGATGACAAAAAGGGTAAAAAGTAGAAAAGATTATAGGGTAAGGAACAAACCTTTCAGAATGGTTTCTGTAGATTAACCATGTGGGTGGATAAGTAACTCTCAGAGTTCAGAGAAGAGAACAGAGCAGTGTCAATGTAATGAACAAAAGTAGGTGGATGGTTCCAGTTCCAATCAGAACATCTCCCACTTCATCAAGGCTGCTGAAAATGATTCATTCTATGGTACATTTTACATGCCACGGACATTCTGTAGGTTTTCTTTTCTATTTGTCAGAGACACGCACATATTCAGAGGAGGTGGCAAAGAAAATGCCCTTTTGATTGCCTTCCAGCATTCTTTTCTTTCAAAAGCAAACAAACAAATAAACAAAACACATACCTTTGGAAACAGGGAAGAATAGGGAGACTCAAACCTAAACTGAATTCAAGTGAAAGGAGAAGAAAATAAAAATCTAATATATGAAATTGAGAAAAACAGATTTGGAGGGAATGTGGGGGAAAAAATAACAACAGAAAAGGAAATTTAGGAAAGGAAGTATTACTGAGCACACTTACCTTGAGTTTATATATCAGTCCTTAATATCCTGGTATTTAGCTGCATTATACCTAAGTGAACATTCTTCTAGAGGTTTCTACAGGAGAACAGACCAGCATCCATTCCTCAGAAACAGCTAGAAGGAAAAAAAAAATCAGCCCTCCACTATTAGCCCCCAGAATCTATGTAGCTCTCGAAAAAGACAGGGGTACTTTGTATTATACTTTACTAACAATGCCATTAATGCTCCAACACAGATCATTAGTTTAAAAGAAATCAGAAAAGAGATGGAAAGCGTAAGTTGGCAATTCCTAGCTCTGTGAAAGAGACCTCTCTGAACTTGCAATGACCGCTGAGAGTGCTGAGCTATAACCCAATTATATGACTGAACTGACCATATTCTGCCTCTCATTAAACCTCCCATTATACCTAAAAACCATACTGAAACCGATTTTCACTGAACTAGGAACCTAAACATGTATTTAATTCTGAGCACATGCTCTGCTAAATGCTGCAGAACAAAAACCCATATTCTGTGTAGTAAAGGAGGTTAAATAGAGTTAAGAGCTTTTTCAGATCATTATCTTCCACCATTCTCATCTGCTGAATGAATTATGAATAGGAAAGTTTAATTAGTACCTTCCAGGTACTACCTGTGTTGCTAACAAAGTTATCCTAGGTTTGATCCAGAAGGCTTGTGATGTTCTTTTGGAATAATTGCAAAAATTAATTTTCAGGAAAAAATATCTGTTATCTTTTAGTTGTCCTACAAACTAAGAAGAAAGAAAAGAAGGCATGTCCTTATTAACTGGAACTAAAACCCAAAAGTATGTTAGTGTCTATGGAGAATGCCCACTGACACTCCAGTTTTTACAAAGTTGTAAATACAGGGAGTGGATAAATATTAGCAGCAGTCACTACAATCTTCCAACAGAGCAAGTCTTCTATTCATCAGAGCAATACAGCCATGCCATTGCTTATTGGAATTAAACATATAGGGAGTACAAGAAGTCACTTGCAATTAAAAAATCCCACTAATCATAAAATAATATGCAGGAATATGCACTTCCTTTTTGTAACAATCCAACTAAAGTACTGGTTTCAGCAGTAAAACAACAAATGCATAATTTTATTGGCCAGGTCAACCAAAAGACAATTTTCAGTTTTACTTTCTTCTCTTTACCCAATACTGATAACGTGCACTAGCTACTCCTTAGTGTTTTACAAATTAAAATGTAGCCTCTCTCTTTGTGCATGCATATGACTTCAGTATATGTTTAATTTTGTCTTTTGTGGACTCCTCACACGTACTGTAGCCAAAAAAATTTCAGTCCACAGGCCAATTTTACAGTTGGATCTAAATTTATTTACAAGATTAAAACTCCACACTCTTAAACTGAAGCATATGGTTTCTGCTTATCACTTCTCTAGTCTCTTTTTTTTCCTCAACTCTGTCAATTTACAGGCCTCAAATTCCACAAATGTTTTGCATAAATCAAATTAACTGATCTGATATAGTTATCTATGTAACATGAATCTTTACAGAAGATTCCCTCTTTTAAGGATTGATCTGAGCCTCCTACAGGTACTTGTAAATCTTCCTAGCAAGTGTTCTGTATGTTTCACTTGTAATTTTTCAGTTTTTTCAGACCACCATTCACATCTTCCCAACTTTCTGAAAAGTATACTCTGAAAGGGTTCTTAGTGATAACTAGATAGGAATATGGAACACCATAAATAGCCGGAAGGAAAAGCTGACATTTTAAAGTATGATTTTTAATTTTTTTTTTTAATTTTACACTTGCCAGGTGAAAAAGGCATATGCTACCATGAAACTAAATAACTTTTGCTTTTTTGAGCTTTCTCCAGGGCAGGTTTAAATCTCTGGCATTAAATCTGGAAAGAACTAAGAACTTTTGCAAACTTTACTGCCTTTTAAATGCAAAGTGTCCTCTTTGATGTAGCCTACCTGAAAGACACAGCAGGATATTTGTTTTCTAAAGGACTTGTGTCAAAATGAAACCTACTACAAAAAAAACCTCTCCTTACATGAAGAAGATAAGAAAAGAGTAAACAACATATGAAAGATAGGAGTTGCATTAGTAATATACTTCTGGAAGACTTTGGCATATTCCAGAGAAAAATATAAGTATATATCTTGGGAGGTGAGGAGGTATATACCCAGGAGGATAAGGGCGATACATTTGGTGTATACAAAGATCCACACAATAAATAAATAAACAAAACCCAAATATCCTCTCCAGCCAACCTGTATCCTTTTAGTCAGTGTCAGCTCTGGTGCCCTTTAGCTGGTGATAGTCTCAAGAGAAAGTTTTTACAGCAGCTAATGCAGCTAAGGCTCTAACTGTAAAATCAGTGCCAGCTCTTCCCTTGGGAAGATCCTACCCTACCAAAAGTCAATAGCCCTTGGTAAAATGTTTGAGGATGTTTTTTCCCCTCTTGCATTAGGCAAGGATCCCAATGTGCTGCCAAACAGAAGCACAAGAAGCATTCTGTGCCTGCACAATGGCCCTCAGTTGGGAGCTCCCTGACTGCCCACGTGGCCACAGAGTGTGACAAGTGATAACTCAGGATAAGCACGAGCAGGGGAACTTAAGAGAAAATGAAATAGTTATTCACAAGCTAACAGGCAATTCTTCTGCTTCCAATGGGTGCCAAAAAGGTATTTCCAACTTATTATTATTATTTTTTCACAATTAATAGCTTCTATTGATCTTATGCAATGAACATTGTACTCTTAAAACTCTTTTACAAGACTACTACAAAATTTTCTCTAGAGATATCCACCAGCTGAAGACATTACACACAACACTGGTTAAAAGGATCTTTTAAAGGATCCCATGATAAGGGAGGATGTAGTGCTATAGGGACTTAATATCTCTGCTTCATTTCCCTCCATTAGTTAATCAAATTTCACTTAATAGAGGAGAGCTAATTTCTTAGTCTCCTGTGTTGAACACAATAGAGGGAACTTGGTATTCCCAAACACTGTGCTGGGAAACTCACACTAAAAAGAAAGAATACAGCAGGAAAAGGAAGCATTTGTCAGAGCAGCCATGTTTGTGCAATTTTTGTTCTGTGGATTAAACATATTTTCCTGCTACATGTTTTGGAAACTTTGTATTTGGTGCTTGAACACTAAAGAAACAGAAGATGTCAAAATTATGCATACCATTTGCACAAAGCTAAAAACTTGCACTTTCCCATCTGAGAGCAACTATAACCATCTTTTCTGAAGCAGTGCAAGCATATTTTATATAAGGCTAGGCCTTACAATCATTTAAAAATATAGATATTATCTAAAACATTTTCACTTTCATCAAGTTTTATTCATGTAGGAAATAAATAAGTAGACTTTCAGTGTATAGAAATCCATTGGCTTGTCCAGGTTCTTTTATAAAGAGATTTTTCTGGTTGGCTGGCAACTCCCTTAGAAACTGTACTTTTACACTGTGCAAAATGAGATGCAATAAACCAAGCACTCAGGATAACATCTACCTACTTCAGCAGGATAGGGACAATAACAAATGCAGCTTTTGTTATGATTGCAGGCTATTTTTCTTTGAAGGGCCCTCTCTCAGAGCATAAGATAAGTAAGAATAAATAAAGATCATGAAAAAAGCTTCCATTTTTAGAGCTCCTGTTCCTTTGTAAGAATTAGAAAGCAAAAGTGAATAAAGGGAAACTGGAAGAATTTACACTCAGTTGCTGTAACTTTGTGCTCTCTGGAAAATCAGATCCCATTCCAGCACCTTCCAAAAAGATCCTGGGTGGTGCTAAGCAAATCACTTAAGCTGATTTCACTTTTCACCATGGGTAATTACCAGTGCAGTCTTCACAGCTGACCAATCTCTAGAAAGTCATCCACAGCTAGAGCACACTGTCAATTGATTTTGTGAACTCACTGTGAAGAGTTCCTGTGATTTGTAAGAGAGATCAGGCTGTTCTAGCTGGTGACTTTCAGCAGCACAGCAGGGCTCCTTACAGAGCTTTGGCAATGTTATAAGCCATGTTACTGTGCTCAGTCTCCTGCAAGAGACACCTGAAGTGATTCTCCCACCTGATGGGAACAGAAGTAAGCTGTGGTCCTCAAAGAAATCTGTCCCAGGAGACTCAGCTTCACCCCTTCATTGTCAATATCAGCCAGCTGAAAAATAATTATGACTAAATGTACAGTCTAGATACACTGCAAACTCTTCTGTATTTGTCACAAGGTTCACAGGATATCCTGAGTTGGAAGGGACCCACAATGGTCATTACCTGGCCTGTGTTAAAAACTTCTGTGCTTGGAACTTTTGGATGAGGCAGCTGAAAACAGATTTCTTATCTGGTAGCTAGGGAAGATTCAAAATGCTGAGAATTAGTCTTTCTTAACTGTAACAAGTGTTCTGCTTGGCAATGAAGAGTCAATTTGCTCCAAATGTACAGCTGCCTGTTCTTCTCACTACCCTCAGCTGCAGCAGAAACTTATGAAGAAGAACAACACCAATTCAAAAGCACCATTCAAAAGTTTGAAATGTGACAGTTCAAGAAACTAATTCAAAACACAACAATGCAGACACTCAGACATCATGAGGATGCACCTAGATGTTTAAACAGCACCATGGACTATTATGAACTATTTCCTGTTGGAACAAGCAACATCTTGGGGAAATACCAAGCCTTTAAGCTCAGTGATGGCTATAAATGCAGCTCCTTCTAAGCTGTACATAAACTTGGGGTGAAATTGGAAGAGATACAGGTAGACAAATCCAACTACCCACCTTTCTTGAAAGGTAGAGAAGTCCAATCCCATCAATCACTTCTCCTCTTGAACCAATCCACAAGCCTGTACAACACTCCAATACAGTAGGAAGTTTACCCAGGGAGAAAGAAATAAAAATAGTTTTCTACATCACAAACTGAAATGACTCACAAAAGGGTTTAACTAGCTTAAAAAAAAAAAAAAGGCATGAGCTTAGTTTCTATTGAATATGCAGTCTAAGCTTCCATGTATCTCAGTTTCTTCTCAGTACAACAGGAATATTCATAACATTGTACCTCAGAGGAGTTTTTTTGGAAATATATTCAAACACATGCCTCAGAAGCACTGAGAAAAATATGATGCACTATACTGAGTACTGAAGCAAAATCCATGAGGAAATTAATAATTCCACCTTTAGTGGCATGTTCTTATAATTTGAAATAAATAAAATATAAGGCCAAATACTGAATGAAGAAGATAAAAGTGAAAAATTAAATAGATGGTCATGAATGGTGAGCACCATTCATCCTGTATGCTAAACAATTCACTGGTCCTATTAAGCTAACAAACCAAAAAAAACAAAACCCAGATAAGACTATTTAATTAAAACTTATATTAAAACCCAATTGTATTCACTGTTTTTCTAAAGAAAATATGAAAGGCAACAATAGTTAAATTCTGAAAGTGGTGCTAAAGCTCACTCTAAAGCTAAGAACACTAGCTGGTGATGCTCAAACTGGCCAGCCAAGAAACTCTATAAGGTGGGGCTTAGCTGAAAAATAAGCTCTTGGGGACTCCCAAAACACAAAACTAGGCAGTGTGAAATGAACAATACATTGCAGGTATATATACCACTGTAGGTATAGAGACATACTGTGCAGGTGTAATGCAATGGAGTGGTAGAAAATGAAACCTGATTGAGAATAATGCCACATAACCAACAGAGAACTAGGCCCAAGTGGGGACTAAGGCTGTAGCTAAGAGGCTAAAAGTGAGGTTTTGGTGCACAAACAAGGGAAGTACAGCAAGGAGATGATACTGCAGAGGAAGGCACAGAGCAGGGAGATGACATTGCATAAGAACAATGTTTTACTGACCTGGTCCTTCTCAGCAACAATGAGTAAATTTCTTGGGTACTCCATGCCAGCAAAAGACTTTTATGAGCTTCTGCAGCTGAACTCTCCCACCTCTGCCAAAGAAACTGGTGGTCCCAGCTATAAGGTTCCTGCTTATCAGCTGTGAGGGCCATCAGAACAGAAGACTGACCCAGACAGATTAGTTAGTGCTGGTGTTTTGCTTCCTACATCAGCAAGGTTGAGTCTGGGTAGCTGGTTGGCAAAACTAAAATTTAAAGAAAGAGAAAGGCAGTTGTTAAATTCAAAAATACTCAGCAAGTGATGGTTAAAGTAGTTTGATGTGCGATCCCACTACAACAGGGATGTTATAATCTGACAGGCTCTACAGAAAACAAATCTGCAATGACAGATAATACCAAAGTGTCCAGGCAAGGAGTTGGCTGAAGAAAATCTTCTCAATCCTCAGCTTTTTCATCTGCAGGGTTTGGAAATACCTTTGTTTCTGCATGTATATTTGTGATAATATACTGTTTGGTCTTTCTCTTTTTTTCTTGGGCAACCTCACCAATATATTCTTATTTTTCCTGTTTAACAAAAACTAGAAGTCACATGTTTTTGCAGGCCTATGCTAATTTGCACAGGAGTAAGAAATTCACAGTCCATTTACATTTTTGGAATAAAAAGATAAAAAATATTTCCCCAATTATACAAATTCTATCAGGTGCCATTAAAAACAGATTATGTATTCTGGTTCTAAATGTATCAATAAAGACAAATCAAGACAATTTTTACCCCAGAGGAACAAATAACAAATTTTTAATTGAAAAAGAATTTGAACTAGAGAAAAAGTGGTAGAACCAATTACAAAAAAAATTAACCCTATATCAAATGCTGTTTTATATTGCCCTAGCAAAGGAAATGTTGGCAAGATATAAAAACTCCTTAAGGAACTAAGCTATCTTAGTTGACCAAGAGAGAAAAAAAGAAAAAAATATTAAACCCATTACATCCCGTGTCAATACCATGCCAAAAAGAACTTTGAGGCAGGCAATCTTTTTTTTTTTTTTTTTTTCCCAGAAAACAAGCATGTGACATGTAAGAATGTTGACTGGGACTGAAATTCCCACTTGGAAACACTGCAGCTATGGAGAAATTATCTGTCAGAATAAGAAAAAAACCCCATATTTTGCCATTTAGAATAGTGGGTTTCAGAAGCAAAAGAAACATTCAAGACGGAAAATTTCACTCTTTGCATCAGTCTGAGCTTGATTGAACAGACAAAATCTTGGTTTGGGATGTGTGTTGTTGTTTTTATATTGGCCTACATGTTATTTTCCGCTTTTTACAGTTCAGATGCTTTTATTTGAAGTATTAAGCCCAGAGAAAAGTTCTAACAATTACCGTATCAGCTTAAAACTTCTTACTCACCCTTAGTTTTTCCTTTCATGAGTAAAAGCGCAAGGTTTTAAAAAGAAACCAAATTAACAACTTTTTGAACTCTTGAGGAACTCTGATAATCAGAGTACAGTTGTTTCCAGTAGCATTATTATGCAAAAAGACTAAGAGATAGTAAATCCAATCCAAATCCAAGAACATACTAGTAAAAGGGTCAGGCTCTAGACTGAGTAAAGTGCTTAAATATCCCTAAGTGTTATCCTATCAGCAAAAATTCTTTAGAAGCTCAAGGGAAATCAGACTGAGTTGATTGGTGCAGGTAGAGCAAGTGCCTGGACAAACTGAAGAAAAAAAGACACCATGTCTGACAAGGTGACAATTTACAGAAAACCGTGTTGCACGCAGAAGAGCACATGCCCCAGCAAGCCGGTTGTGCATTTTCAAATACACACACTGGTGTCTTTCTGGAAACAGAGTGAGCAGAAGGACATCAGGTCATTGCTGTTTTCATGGTATGGCATGGAAACTCTCCTGTCGTCATTATATAGCTGTGTATGTCAAACATAACATTAAAAAATTGCCTATATTGCAATCAATTGTTTATTAAAAAATTAAATAACACATTGTACATCTCACGGAGGCCCTTTTGCCTCCAAGCCTGATCTGTACTCAGGACCCTCCTGAAGCCAGAGAAATAACTTGATGAGACAAATAGGATTTTACCAAAAACAGGTTATTTTCAAAGAACAAAGAGGAATCCTTGTTTTCTTAAGCAACGGAAGACTTAGGAAATAACCCTACTTCAAAGTCTCAGTTTCAAAGATGCCTTTCAGCCAACACAACTTTCTGCAGAACTCACAGCTGTTCCTTTCTGGCCTGAAAACTTGCAGGTGGGATTCCTGCTCAGATATCCACCAGTTGCTTCAGAAGCTGAACCCCAGTGGTGACGTATTTGGAGGTCCTGACAGGGGAGCTGTGGGAATGGGCTGCCAGAGGATCAGGGCAATGGTGGCCATGGGCCAGGAAATGGCCAGCAGTGAGAGTCAGGCAGAGTGGAATGTGGTGACTGATCTTACATGGCCCTTACACAGATCAAAAAAAGCAGGCCCCTCAGAAAATTCTTAATTTTTATATTTATTTTTAATGCTTTTAGATAATAGGTAATACTTTGGTTAGTCAAATATTTACCCAGAATGGTGAAGTTTGGTTTCATGTCTTGCTCATCTTCCATCTCTTAGGAAAAAGGTCACCACCTACCACGGCCATCAGTTTAAGTTTGGTGAATTCACTTTCCATTTTGAACTGGCTCTCTCACAAAGAGGAAAAACAAAAACAAAAAACCCAAAACAAAACAAAAAAACCCCATAAAACAAAAAAAAACAAAAGAAAACAAAACAATCCCCCCTAAAAAACCAACGAAAACCAAACAAGAAACTCCCACAAAAACAAAACAAACAAACAAACTGAGGAAAAAAGGAAGATAAATAGGTCTAGAACTAAAAAAGTAGAATGAATAAACCCAGTCCAAGTTGTCATAACCAGGACACCAACTGGAATAGCAATATAGGATGAGGAAATTCAGATTCTGATTCATGCTTACAGAACAACCTCCATCAATGTTTGTGAAAGCAGAACTGATAGACAAGGTTTCCCATCCTCATTGCCCACAAAGTAAGGATCCTAACTGCAGGACTACTCTGCCTGTCCTACTCTCCTCCCTTCTGCACTTCCTACAGATCATTAGATAAAACATGCCACTTGGCAGAATAGTTGTATTTCCTAAGTCTGTCTTGATGGATAGAAAGACAATCTGCCCCACTCTTTCAAAATCAATGTCAAAGTGTGTGTGTCCTAGGATGGCTTTTAGTCTCCATATCTCAAAGCAGATAAGTTTTTAACATGTGGAGAGATACGAGCTCAGAGACAGAGTCTTGCACGTGGCATTTTCTCTGGCTTTTTGCCCAACATTCAGGATTTGATGATAGTTTTTCTGAGCCTTTCAAATACCACAGTGCTGTTTGTGAATCTGCGTTCACAGGATCACAGAATGGGCAAGGTTGGAAGGGATCACAGGGGGTCACCTGGTCTAACTTCCCTCCTCAAGCAGGATCATCCTAGAGCACAGGATTGCATCCAGATGGTTCTTGAATATCTCCAGTGAGGGAAACTCCACAAAATCTCTGAAAAATCTCTTCCAGTGCTCAGTCACTCACGTCACACGGTAAAGAAGTTCTTCCTCATATTCAGGTGGAAATTCCTCTGCATCAGTTTTTTCCCACTGTCCCTTGTCCTATTGCTTGGCGCCACCAAGAGCCTGGATCCATCCTTTTGGCACCCTCCCTTCGTATACTTGTATACATTGATGAGATCCCGCCTCAGTTGACTCTTCTCAAGACTGGAAAGGCCCAGCTCCCTCACTTTGGCTTTTGTCCTTCCTTTTCCTTTCAAACAATACCTTAAGTGTGGGTAATGTCTAATACATTAGCATTTTAGGCCATTTTTTAAAATTCTATTCCCAGCATAGCAAAGGATAGCTTCTATTGTCTCCAGGTCTCCTATTAATTATTTATTTTTCACTCCCATGAGCTTTAGCAAGATCTGAAGACACTCTGTAGACAAGTCAGTCACATTTTTCTAGTGTAATGGAGTACCATTAGCCCTCTGCACCATGCAAAGGATTGAAATGTTCATCAGTAGCAAAACAAAAGTAAAACTAATAGAACTGGACAACCAATACACTCCAAATAATATCCATAATAAATTCTCCTCTCTGAAGATTTTGGTGCCTTTTTCTATCAAGTCCAAGTGAATTTGCCAAAATATCTGAATGGACTATTCACCATATATACAGTATTCATCATGCAATATCTCTCAAAGTGAAACAAAAGAATTCTCCAATTTAGTTTAGTTTGTAAACAGCTGGCATTACTTTGATTAAATTTATCTTTTCAAACTTTAGCAAATCTGTCCTGCCTGAGATATGTTATCCTGCCAAAACAGTCTGCAGTATCAATAAACTGAGCTATACTCTCATCAGCAAGAGAATCATACTGATGACTGCATGTTAGGTTAAGGCAATTGTTAAGCATTCACTCTGCAAGGGAAGAGGGAACTAATGGTGGAAATCTGCAGCATTTTCTGCTTGCAAAAAATCTGTTAATATATTTATTAACAATATTTTCCATTTTCCCCTTCTTCATTCTGTTTTAGCTCTAATGTCTTATTTGTAAGATAACTAGAGACATCAAGAAAATTGTGGTTTTACTTCCATGATAAGCATAGCATAGAGGAGAATAATAAATCAAATTTAACTTAACTTAGTTTAGCATATAAATTGAACTGTACAGTTTATCATTTGACCGTCATTTGTATCCATTCTTCCCTTCGTGTGTTTATGAAATTAACCAGATTTACAACTACTGAAACTATCACAGCTCACAAAGTGCCATCCAACTACGAGCAAAAGAAGTTTTGCCAGCTTTGGGACACAGAAGCACTGACTGTGAAAAAAACAGAGGTTTTAGTGCATGGCTCTAGTGTGTCCTCCCTCTGTCAGAACTAACACTCCACTCTGATGTGCTAAGCAGCCCCCAGGATGCTGTGAAGCTGAGCCACTCCAGTTGCCTGCCTGCCTGCTGAGACTCTCCTAGGGGCTTTCACAGGCCAAGAGGATATTTTACAGCTGCATGAGAAAAGCAGACTGGCACAGCAACCAGCTCTGACTCATTCTCACAATACCACTTAAACTGTAGAGCAACCTGTTCTTGATGTCACGGGT